ACTTTCAGATGTTAGAGCAGCATATTTTACTGGCATTTGTATCCATCGCTTTCCTCAGTAAGGCATGTTACTACTTTCATCATCTTAAGGAAAAAAGACAAGGGAATTTCGATCAAACGTTATTTTCATATTACTAGTACTTGCAGAGTAGGCGTAGAACTATTTAAGTTTAGATTTTGGTTTGGTAGTTTGTTTTTAAGGGGGAAAAATGAAATAGCCCCTACTTTTCCTGTTTTTGTATTTAACTAATATATTATTTCTTTAAGGTTACTCACTTCCCCTACCCCTTTCAAATACTTTGCATTCTCAATTGAAATGAAAACAATCTGAGAGACAGGAAAAGTGCAATATTACCAAGAGGGATGCCAGGGCTTATTGGCATGGTGGAGAAAGACCCTATGGTCTAGTCTGCAGAAAGTTGGAGGGGGACTGCTGGGAGGAATCGGAACTGTGGAACTGACAGGTGGGCTTTGGGGTTTGATGTTTTAGCCCTCTCCCTCTCCTGCTTCCCTGGCAAGTTGGTAGGGTTCCCCACCAGAGGGCAACCCCTGTTACTATTGGGTATCATCCACCCAGAAGAAAGGGATTCAGGGAAGAGGCTTGGGGGCTCTTGACCTCCTGGGCCCAGTCTCCAGAGCAGAGTGAGGACATCCAGGAACTGTTCCTTGTTTTCATTTCCATTGTTTCCAGCCAGCTGCTCGGAGAGACCTGTCCTAAAAATGCCTCCCAGCAGCCCTCTACCCCATTCCCCCTGCCCCCAGTCTCCTGATGTTTGGGCTGTGATCCTTTTGATGTATGTCTGAATCTTTCTAAAACTATGAAACCTCAGTTCAGTTTATGGGCAGGAAACCTAGATGTAACCAAACCCATCTGGAGGGTGTGGGCACCGAGGCCTACCCCAGGGAGATGGAATTCCCGCAGACCTGCAGCAGGGCCCGGCACTGAGCCCAGCTGCCCATTCATCTCAGCGACTTCAGCCTGAGCAGCAAGCCCTGCCTGTGCTCCACACCCAGACAGTCTGCAGGAGTTCTCGGAGAAGACTCAGAGGGGTCTACTTAGGTCTCTGCAGACAGATGCCCCCACAACAGGCACCAAGCCAGATGCCTCCTTTCTTGGTGCTGATAGAGAAAGTGGCAGGCTGGGAAGTCTCCTGGGGTCCAGACCAGGAGCTCTGCCCCTCAGGGCAGCAGGCATGCCCTTGCTGGTTTGTCCCCTCCACCTCCAGTACTGTACGTTTGCTGCTCCAACCCCATATTTGGTGAATTTCTGTACAGACATGGATCTCTGTGCCCAGAGTAGGACTCAAGCCCCTGTGTGAGTCTCCCTTGGAATGACACATCCACATAGCCAATCATCTTTGAGAATCTTGATGCAGAGCTCTCTAGAAAGAGAACTGTCCACATCACTAAAAAATTACTATTCCCTCACTTTTTTGAGGGTTGTGAGTTGAGTGTATGTGCACACGTGTGTGCATGCATGTGTGCATGTGAGTGTTGGTAATTTCCCGCTTGAACTAATAACATGGGGTTAGAGAAAAAAAAAAAAAAAACCACCGGGCAAGCTGTCTCCACTGAAAAAGTCCTTGGCATTGGGCAGGTCCCAAGGGACTCGCAGCTTCTGGCATCAAGTCTGTGTGTCATTCATACAATTTTTGTCTGGAGAGTGCAATGTGTCTTTTTTTTTTTTTGTAATAATATTATTATTTAGTTGGAAACTTCACACTGGCATTATCAGGTCTAGCAGAAGCAGCCTAGGCCATCTTCCCAGGCTCCAAATGAAGATGTGGAAAAGAGATACCACTGGGTGTGGAAGTGTTGAGGTGGTTCCATTAGGTCACCGACCTGCAGATGAGAGTCACCTTACAGGCTCCCACCTCTCACCCTATGAGTCATCAGTCTGAGATTCCCTGATACAAGCACTGCTGACCCTTTGGTTCTCATTTCTGAGGGCAGGCAGAGTGGGTGGGGTGAGAACTGATTCTCTGTGCACAGTAAGACCTGCGCATGCGGACACCGGCTGAATATTTCAGGAAAGTAGCATGGAGGGCTCCCCTGGATCTGACCGAGCTTTTTGTCTAAATCTCCTCACTGAGGCAGTGTCATATTTCTCTGTGCTTCTCAAGCTCCATGATCAGAGCCAGTAAGAGGACAGGGTCAGTAACTTACAGCCTTAGGGGAAATAGCCCCAAGTTTTAACTTCTCTCCAGCTTTGTCCTACATGCCTGGAATCCCCAGGCCACAAGGCACAGGATGGTGCTTATAGACTGGGTCAAGAGTTTTACCTTCCAAGGCCTTGATCCCAACCTACCTGTAAGGCCAGGATTAGCATGCAGTCCTCCTTCCCCTGTTCCATCTAAATCTCATGTTTGCACTTGACAATCAGCACCCTCTCCCTTCCCAGTCCTAAAACTGAGTGGCCTTTGAGAGTGGGGTCCCCTGTGCTGGAGGCCCCTGCCTTGCTCCCAGGTCCACCCTGGCCAATGGGCTGGGCCTCAAGAGGTGTGTGTGAGAGAAAAGTGATTCAGAGCAAAAGGGTTGATTGAGCACGTTGAAGCCAGTGAGAGGCACGTTGGCAAGAGTGTGTGCACGTTTGGGGTGGCTGGGGCTTCCCATCCCTTCACTGGGAAGGAAGCTTCCAAAAGAGGATATCTTCCAGACAGAAGAAGGTGTAGGAGGGCTGAAAAAGGGTTCGGAGGTTTGTTTTTGTCTTTATTTATTAGAAATGAGGAAGAGGTTGATGGTGAGTGTTTCAGGAAGAAGAGAGAAAGCAGGTAGACAGGAAGCTTCATGATTCAACACGCAAGGGTCCAGTCAGAGCTGGAGGTGGGACAGTCTTCGAACCTAGCCATAGAAGAAGCTGGCCAAAGGAAACTACTATTCACTGGGTCACAAGCTGGGTCTCAGGGAATGGTTACTGATCTACTTCGTGGGGAAGGGGTGCTGCAAGCTGTTTCCAGGAGAGTTACGTTCATTTCCCAGGTTCCCATCTGTCTGTCCACTACCCTTTGCCTATTCCAGAGCCGGTCTCAAACTTTACAAATCAGAACAGTGACCATGACAGGCCATGCAATAGGGATCTGCCATCCCCAAACTGGACTCCACCTGGGAGGAAGGTGGCCTCAATCTTTCTGTTGATACCAGTTATCCCAAAGGCACTCTGTTGATCACCGGGGGTGGTTCCATTTGCAGAGTTTGCCTCCCTGGTATGAAGTAGACCAGGGGAGATACACACCCACCCATGGATATGTGCTCTTCCATTTTTTAGTGGCTTCTAACTAGGGCACACTGTTCTTAGAGTTTGTTTCAAAGAAGGGTAAACATCCACCATTCTTGTATTTACAGATGTTCTCTGCAGTAGGTTTTCTTTAAATCCAGGATGCCAGATGGGGAATGGGTATCCCTGCCAGGTACTGGCAGGTCTACAGGAAGGTGACTTCTCAGCACAACAGAGTGGCCATCCCTGAGCCATGGTCTGAAGTGAAATGGTGGGTGTCACTGGGCTCCAGAATTGCAAGGAACTCCTAGTGGTGTCTACTCACCCCACCCAGCCCTTAGTGGGCTCTTAGTGGGAGAAGCCCTTCCTCTGAGTTTTTCCCTCTTCCGCCTCAGCAGAGAAGCTGGAGAGAAGGGCAGTAAGTGCAGTGCCGTCAGGGTGAGTGCAGATCATCCCAGGATCAATGGTGGTGCTAAACTATCTCCATGTTTCTGATATTTTTAATAGTGAAGTTTTTTTTTAATCTCATCACAAAAATGCAGTGTCCTTGGGGAAGGGACTCAGCCCCTTGGCCTGCCACTTTCCAGGTGTCCTTTATCACTTTGACGGGACTCTTCGGTCTGCAGAAATGCTGTCTTGGCATGCTTCTAGACTGTAAGATTTGGGTTGTTTTGTTTTGTATTTTGTTTATGTTTACATGCATCTTGTATTTCCCTAAAAACTAAATAAAGTTTTTTGACCTTTTTAACTGTACACAATCACCTAATTCTCCCTCACTTAGCTGGATAGCAGAGGTCCCTCTATCTCAGACTCAGCACAGACTCCAGAATCCCAGGCCTCTGAGAGGACTCAGGAGGGGGATGTATGTCCCTACTATGAGAATCAGACAAACTTCCCCAGCCCCATCCATGCCTCGGGGGTGGCCAAGCTTGGGTCCTCAGCTTGAACCCCTGAACCCACCTATTTGTACTGAACTGCAGTAAGCAGAGCAGCATGGTCCTGGGTTCAAGACCAGGCTGAGCCTGGGAGGCCAGGATACAGGGTGGGTAGGCAGATATCCCATGTGCCTCTGAGGCCTGGCCCTGCCAAATAAGCGCAATTCCAAAGTGGTGTGCCCACATCTTGGGGTCAGTTTGGCTGTCTTCCTACCACCCCTAGCTCTTCCAGCTACTCAGATGTGCTTAGCATATCTAGAAAGTTCCTCCAGGGGTCCCTGTCCAGTGACTTTCCTTTTCTCCCCAGCTGTACCATCAATGTGGCATAGGCCTCTGCATCCACCAATAAGAAAATAGTTGAGCTTCAGCCGCTGGAGAGGCCTGAGCTTAGGGAGGACACAGCCAGCCCTGCTCACCTGGATGGAGCACCTGTCATTCCCTCACTTTCCCCTAGGTGGTGCCACCACCCCACAGGCTCCTATCCAGGTTGGGCCTGCTCAGCCTTGAGAAGCCTAGCATCCTCCTGAGCTCCCAGGAGGACCACACCCTGCTCCCCACAGACCCAGGCTTCTGAGGCCACCAGGAGAACCAGGGCTTCTCCTTTCCAACTTACAGGGCTCACCAGGTACCATGGCCCCTGCTGAACAAGCCACAGGTACTGTTCTGGCCCACAACTCCTGGGAGCCTTGCCTGATGATTGTCTCAGCCACCTTGGGGCCTCAGAGGCCCACTGTTTTCTCCCAGGCCTTTGGGTAACAGACTTTGGGGGGGCAGACCCACCCACACATGTGTATGCCCACATACACACAGGCCCTCCCTCTCAGCCTCCACAGCACAGCAGAGCCCTCGGGCTGGTAGAAATCACCTTTATTCACAATCACAGCGACCCCATGGGGGAGTTCACAAAGGTGTGAGGCAGCGGCTACCCCTGCATGCACTTGGACCTTTCACCTCTGGGACCTGTGCCTGTCTGACTGATGGGGCCACCTGCTGGCCCCAGCCCACTCCTGCCGCAGGTCTGAGAGGCAGGGGCTGGGAAGGCAAGACCCAGAGTGGTCCAGGGACTTCCCCAAGGTGCCTGTAAGTCCAGCGCAGGTGCCTGTCTGGCCAAGAGTCCTGTCCCATGCTTCCATCACACCACCTCTTGGCAATACCCCACAGAGAACTCCCAAGAGCCATACAGAAAGTCTGCCCCCCCAAACAGCCACCTCACACAGGAAGCTGAGGCTCAGGGCAGCCGCCTGGCCAGGGCTAGAACCCCAGGCTCTGCCGGTCAAGGGAGAGGCTGTCTCTGAGGGTACACTAGAGTCACCTGATGACAGGAGGCTGGGAAGCAGGGGGCTAGGCCAAGACGGCACTGGCCCAGCCCAGAACAGGTGGGCAGGGCTGAGGTGACCACAACCTCAGAACAGGTAGGGCGGGAGCCAGGACCTTGCTCCAGGGTGGAGAGCCTTTCCCAGAGCAGGTTCCCTGCCCTCCTACGACAAGGGTCCCCGGGTCCTTCGCTGGCCCATGCTGGGCTCCCTGCCTGCGCCCTCTTGGAGCATTTGATGTCCTTATGGAAAGGAGACTCCTGGGCCATTTGCAATTCCAGAGCCCACCAAGATAACCCAGCTTCTGCTCGGGAAGGAAGGGCACTTCATGGTGCTGGGTGACCTACCAGCCCCAGGGCACTGTGGACATTCCGTGTGCCTCTCTACAAAATGGACACCCTTTGCCAGGAAGTGGCCCAAGTTGGCCCTTTCAGATGGAGTTCCAACTTAGACTGGCCGTGAGCTTCCCAGATGGGGCCTGGGGAAGATCTGAGTGATGATAACCACTACTGTCCCCTCGCCAGCACCCATATACAGGATGGCATTTCTAGGGGCCCAGGAGATGGGAACTCACCCACAAACCAATAAAACCCACCAACCAAATAAATAAATAAATTAAAATAAGGGAAAAGGCTGGTCATAGTTAGGGATTCCCCCCTTCACCAGGAGCCACGGCCCTTCCTTGGCACAGTACAGCCTCTGAGGTCGTCCTGGGCCCAGGCCAGCACTGAGATGCGGGAGGACAGGTGGGGGTGGGGGTAGCTGAAGACCTGTGCTTAGAGACCTTCACCAAAGACATACCTGTCCCCACCCCATACCAAAGGACACTCCTGCACAAGGGCAAGGGCGAGATGATTGGGACAGAACCATGGCTAGGAAGGAGTCCTTTCAGCCCAGCAGGGCCAGGGATCCAGAACCTAGAGCCCTCCACAGCCTGGGGTAAGAAGAGTTAACTGGCCTTCTTGTCCCCTGCTGCCAGTCCCAATAGGCAGAGAAGAGGGGAAAGAGAAGGTGGGTCCAGATCAGAGTGAGCAACCCAGGAGCCGCCCATTGTGGGCTGCTGTTGAGCAGGTTGTGCACTGCTCAAGAGTCACTGGCTAAAGGAGAAAATGGAGGCTAAAATCCAGTCCCTACTCCACTGACCAAGCCACATGCCCTGGCTTAGGGCAGCATCTGTCCATTAGAAGATCCACACTTTTTAATTCTCACCAAGGTGCCACATGGGCTACAGGGACCTCCTAGAATCTGCCCCAGATTGGGAAGGTATAGGACAGGCTGACCTCAGTTTAGCCCCTTGTCATGCAGGGAAGAACTGATGCAAAGAAGGGAAAGACTGGGGAGTGTGGCCTTCTCCCCTCTCTGCCCAGTGATGTGCTTCTGCCCCCGCCTTCCTGCCTCGGACCTGCTCTGTGCCCAAGCCTTCAGGAGCCTCGGGTTCCTGTGTCTAATGGAGGAGGATGAGGAAGAGAAGCGGCCCTGGGCTTGGCCCTCAGCAGCAGCCGGCTGATGTCTACAGAGGGGCCCTCAGGGCTAGGCGCTGCGGTAGGTCTTGATGATGTCCTTGATGGGGCGGCGGCAGATGGGGCAGCAGGCGTGCAGGGCCTTCTTGAGGCGCAGGCCGCAGGCATAGCAGAGGCACATGTGACCGCACGTGTAGATGACCGTGTCCACCGCGTGCTCATAGCAAATCGTGCACTCATCACTCCACTGGCCCACGCCCGGGGTCACTGGAGACTCAGGCAGGCTCACCGGTGAGTTGGGGGCTGTCCCTGGACACAAAGGGCACCGGTCAGGAGCAGATGTGGCTGGGTCCCCTGATTTCACAGGCTCTCCACTCTTGAAGTCCCCAACAGCAGCACACACACAACCATGCATGCATTCAGTTACTCACACGGCCTCTACCCAGTATGCCTGGCACAGGGTTCACAGGAAGGGGGCCCCTGGCCTCTTGCACCCCAATCCATTTAAGGAGACCTGCCTGTTCACCCCAACAACACAACTTCCTGCACAAGGGATGACACTGAACGCAGGCAGCCCCACTTCTGAACCACTCAGCCCCCAGATCAGGGGCCAGGGAAGCCATGAGAGCAGGGAGGGAAAGAAGGAGGCATGGTGAAGGGAAGGGGCCCCAAGTCTAAGGCAGATCCCTCCTGAGCTACCCTTTGGCATTCCCTGAGTGCTTTAAAAAAAATTTTTTTTGGAAAAAACTGCCCACTGGGGACAGGAAAGAGACACCCCAGAAGTCACCACCCAACAAGTCCAGCTGCTCTTCACTCTCAGCCTGACAGCAGCTGCACCCCTGCCTCAGCAGAAGCCGTCAGGGGTGACAGTCTGACACAGCACACGGGACTCTACTTACCACCCGCAGAGCTGCCCTGAGGGCCAGAGCTGCACGCACTGAGCAGGGGATCAGACAGGCGGCTGCCCAGGGCACTGGGTGAGGTTGGTGTGGAGGCCGGGGAGCAGGGGAGCGATGGGATGCCTCTGTCGGCCAGGATGGTGGAGCCTGCAGTGAGGGTGGCAGGGAGAGGGGGGCTGCACTCACCACCTGACCTGAAGCAAGAAGGCTGGGGCCTGCCCCAGCATGGGCTCCCAGGTCTCCGTGGAGTCCCACCTCAGCCCAAGGTCTCCAGTCCAGACAATGAAGTCCCACTTTCCGTGCCCCTTGCCGCACCTCCTGTTTAGAGCCCTGTCCTCTTCCCACCATCCCCAGATGTCACCTCTTGGGCACTGATGCACCCAACACCTCACCTCCTCCCATGTATCCTAGTCTTGCATTCTCCCCCCTTATCTCCCCTTGTCCTCTCTCCTATCCCCTTCTTCCCCTCCTTCCCTCCCTCCTTCCTTCAACTAATCCTTTCCAAGGGCCTACAGGGACCAGGCATTGTCCACACAAGCTGCAGACAGAGCCCTTGTCCTTAAAGAGCTAACTGCCCAAGCAGCCTAGTGGAGCTGCCCTCAATCCCCTTTTCTCTGGACAGCCTCAACTCCCCCAAACCACACTGGTCCATCCAGCCATGACCAACCCCACACCCACTACAGATACAGACCAAACCACCACAGGCCAGGGATATTATCCATTCTTTGCCAGGAATCCAGCTCTATTTCTCCAGTTGAACCACAAGCTTTCTTAGAACCAGAACCATCATCCACCTGTGGCTCTCCCAAGACCCTAACAGAATCCCTGCGCACAGTCAGGTGCTCAAGGGGGCTTTTTATTATTAGCTCTAACTCAATAGTGTTATTATTCCTAAGCAAATTCAATAAATGTCCAGAGCGCTTCTCTTACTGTGTTGATATCTTTTTAAGTTCATTGTCATGTCCCATCAGAAACGCACACCTATTTACTTTCCTTGTCTTATCACACTGGCTAGCATTTCTGGAACAATGTTTCTAAGGCATCTCTACTTATATTCCTATTATTATTTTTTATACCAGGGATTGAACGCAGGGGGTGCTTAACCACAGGTTCTGGGTTGCTTAGGGCTTTGCTAAGTTGCTGAGGCTGGCTTTGAACTTGTGATCCTCTTCCCTCAGCCTCCCAAGCCACTGGGATTACAGACGGGCACCACCACGCCTGGCTATATTCCTATGTTTAATGAGAATATTTCTAATGTTCTAACGATAAGTATGAAATTGGCTGCAGGTCTGGCGGTGCTCATGAGTGAAGGAAAAAGCCTTCCATTCTTAAGTTTACGGAGGCCTTCCACAAAGCCAAACTTTCCTCTGTAAGATCAACAGTGACCCTTCCTACATGGCCACGGATTTGGTTTTCCTTTGGAGTCAAGTGAGTGTCTCACACCACCAATTTGCTGGATGAGATGTCCAATTCTCCAAACAGCTTGGAGCACTCTGTTTAACAGACGGTGAATTCTGGATGGTTACTCTTCTACATCCACCTCGGCTCGCTTATCATTGGCACAGGAAAGTCCTTATTTTATTTTTTTGTTTTTAATTCCCCTTTGCTCCAGTCTCGTAAGCCTCTTTGGGCAGCACAGCCTTACTGGAAAGCTACTTATCTATTATTAGATGGTGCTGACGCAAGAGAGTACCTTGCCCTCATGTAATTTTATTTCTCTGAGAAGCAGTGTCTCCTGGTGAGTGCAGCTCAGCATCTCTTCACCTCAGCTTGAAGGTTTTTTCTCCCCTATCCGTTTCTTTTTATTCCATCCTGAATTCCCACCCAAGCCTGATTCATCTTCCTTCTGTTTGGTTTCTTTTCATCTAATCCTTCATTCCTTCCTGATTTATCTTCCCTCAGCTCTAACTTCTTAGCACCCTAGCCTCGTTTCTTTTCATTCATTATTTATTTATTTTTTCATTTCATCTTTATTTGCTCTTTCCAGAGGTGGGAGGCCCACTGACTTTATCTGATTTCACAGGCTCTCCACTCTTGCAATCACCAACAGCAGCACACACACACACAACCATGCACGCATTTAGTTACTCACACGGCCTCGACCCTGTATGCCAAGCTCAGAGCAGCTCCGACTCACACATTTACACACACAATTCAAACTATCAAGCCTGCTGGGGCTGTGAGGCCCAGAGGGCTCCAAACTTGGCAAAGCCTACTTGCTTTGTGGAGGGGAGGCAGGGATGGAGATCAGGGCTGGGGATGTAGCTCAGTGGTAAAGTGCTTGCCTAGCATGTGCCAGGCTGGAGTTCCATCCCCAGCACTGAACAAAAAAAAAGAAAGAAAAAGAAAGAAAGCAGATGCCAGGAACCATCCAAGATCTACAGAATAGCAATCTCTGGAGGAGGGATCTAAGAATCTTCCCTTTATTAGGCTCTCCAGGTGAGGCTAATGAAACCAGTGCAGTGTAATGGAAAGCTGGTTAGCAGACCAGAACTGCTCCCTCTGGGGTAACAGAGGTCCAAGGAGATGCTTTGTGGAGAAAAAGGAAAAAATTTCTGATCAAATTAGTTTGGAAAAACTGTACACTATAACCATCATCAACTTAAGATTCTCGCCATGTATTAAAGGCTCTGAGAAGTCCTGCAAGAAACACTCATCCCACTCCCCTTTTTAACTCCATGTTTCCCAAACCTTTTAACCACAAGGACCCCTTTTCAAAGAGTACCTATTAACACCTTATAGAACTATCTGGGAAACATGGCTTACACAAGTTCACATTCTGCAGTCCATTCAAACTGTGTCCCTCCCCCCAGAAAAGGCAAACCTAAAACTCTGCAACACCACTTTCCCCAAGGCCACCTGCTCAGGTGTTCCTCTAACCCCTCAACCCAGGCACCACCCTGCTGAGACACCTGGCTACTGACATACCAAACTTTCATTTAGACCCATGACCATCCTTAAAGGCAGGGATCTTTATTCCTAGTGTGGGGGAAAGGAGCTTCAAAAAGGTATTTGACGGTGAGAACCATTTTTCCCCATTTTTAAGCAGCCCCTGGGGCCTGCACGTCTGGGCTGTTTATGTGTCTGAAGAAATGCGGGTTGACCTGACGAACTCAGAGGAACCTTGGGTATCTGGGATTCCCTAGTAGGACCACAGTGAACCAGGGACACTCCTACCCCGGGCCATATCGCCCCCACACCAAGGAGGACCCGCGCCCCAGCACTCACCGAGGATGCGGACCTGCGTGATGGCCCCATGCAGGCCAAAGAGAATCCAGAGAGGCTGCGAGGCGTCCACGCACAGCTGCATGCCAGCGGCCACACCATTGTGGCTGAGGTGCAGCTCTCCGTCGGCATTCACCACCAGCCCCAGGATGTCGCCGCTGTGCAGTGGCCCTGGCACGCGGCATACGGCCCAGAACTCCTTGCGGTCCACCAGGGCCTCGGGGCTGAAGGGCAAGTCGGCTGGCCGCAGTGTGTTAGGGTCGCACGTGGTGACACCAACGGAGAGCGCGCCGGGCCGCGCGCCGCCCGAGCGCGTGACCTTGATGAAGATGGTCTCGGCCACGCGCACCGGCCGGCTGGTGAAGACAAGCGCGCGCTCGTCGCGCCCGTGCTCCAGGCGCGCCACCGTCTGCTCGTCCAGAATGCGGACGTGAGCGCCGGCGCGCAGCGGGTGGAAGCGCAGGTCGCAGTCGAGCTGCGCGGGGAGCGCGCGGCTGTGCTGCGAGTTGAGCGAGTTCTGCGGGATCGGGCAACCAGCGGCCGGCGTGCCGTCGTCGCCGTCGCCGCCCGGCACGTTGAGGTCACACAGGCTCACCGAGAGGCGCGCCTCGTCGGTCTCGCGCCGCAGTGACGGCCGCCGCAGGGCGGTGAAGGAGCGCGGCCGCAGGCAATCAGGCAGCACCAGCTCGCTGTCTGCAGCGGAGAGAGCGGGAGACCGGGCGACAGTCACCCCAGACCCGGGCGGCCCGCGGGGGAGGGCCCCCGCGGCCTGATTCTTGCTGTGTTTCAAGTCTGCACCACTGAAACACTTACTGAATGCTTAATGGGATGGAAAATGCTTATGACATAAATTAGTGAGCAAAATCAGGGAGCAAGGTTGCACAGGAATCTGTCTAGCCAAAGAAGGAGGCTGGAAGGGAAGACACCAACGTCAGGACCGTGTGGTTGCTTCTAAATGCTTAAAATTGCCGGTTGCGCTCTTGGCAATGTATGTATTTTCCTTATTGCCTACAGTCAGCGGGTAGGACCCTTTTCGTAAATGTATCCCTTCTGTATCCCAGCATCTAGAGCTGAGCGCAGCCCTTAGTAGGCAAACATAAATATTTGTCTTACTGAATGCACTGATGACATTCTAACCCACTGGGGGGCCAGAGGGACCCCCTCCCCCGACTCCTTTGCGGAAATTGTCTCATCTGGTCATAACACTTGTCTTTTGAGATTACCATTGCCACATAAGGACACCAAGGCCGAAGAAAAAGTTAAGTCCGTTCATCCAAGAAAGCCTTTTGAGAATGATTTAACTGAGAGTCAAACCCTTTCTCTTTAATCAGACAAGTCATACAAATTATTTTACAGAAATACAGTTCAGCAGAAAGAAAAATAACCATCTGCTGGCCCTCCACCCAGAGAAGAGCACTTTAAACATCTGGATCATGATCTCCCAGCCTTTTAAAAAATATATTGGGGAGCGGGGCACAGTCATGCCTGTAATTCCTTCAGCTTGGGAGGCTGAGGCAGGAGGATCGAGAGTTCAAATCCAACCTCAGTAAAAGCCAGGCAGTAAACAATTCAGTGAGACCCTGTCTCTAAATAAAATACAAAATAGGGCTGGGGATATGGCTCAGAGGTTGAGTGCCCCTGAGTTCAATCCCTAGTATAAACATTTTTTAAAAATTTTTTTTGGTTACTGTCCTAATGCAAAAATTGAGTTATGCTACATAAACACTAGCAGTTTTCAATCTTTTCTGGTTAGCAAATCACTTTGAAAATATGACCATAACTTTGACCTATCTCCCCAGAAAAATACACACATTTTCACTAAATTCTATGGATAACTTCAGGACACCTGTGAATATCCAAAGGCTAAGAACCCTGCACTATGGATTTTCTTTTTCACAACTGTAACTGTTTCCAACACTATAGTCTTTTCTTTTTCTTTTCCCCCCAATCCTGGGGACTAAGCCCAGGGGTATTTTACCACTGGGCTACATGCTCATCCCTTTTTATTTTGAGACAGAATCTTGCTCAATTGCCCAGGCTTAACTCAAACCCATGATCCTCCTGCCTCAGCCTCACAAGTTGCTGGGATCACAGGCATGCACCACCAGTGCCCAGATCCAATGCCATATTCTTTTAATGGCTTTTAATAGCCTGCTTTATGGAATCATAAACTTATAAGGAAAGTAATCGCCATGTGCCATGAATCCATTTCACTTTAAAGCAGCCCATGGAGGGGGTCCCACTTTACAGATAAAGCTCAGGGATGTTGTATGACAGCCACCAAGCGGTTGATCCAAGATTAAAGCCAGCTCTGCCCAACTCCCACCCCACACCACACTCGTCACTTCCTAGGCCTCCTGACTGAACTCTTTCAATGGAGTTGATGTCCCTAAATTTGGTTGGTGCCACTGGAAGCCACACCATGGATATTCAATGCCTCTCTGTGTTTTCTCTTCAAGAACTGGACGAGGGCAGCTGTGTGCTCTGCCATAACGGGGAAGCTTGGGGGACTGATGTGGTAGGGACAGCAGAGACCAGAGTTCAGCTCCAGCTGAGCACAGAGCCAGTCTCCAAAGCCTCCGTGGTTTTGTTCTCTTGCCTCCGCGGCCCTTCCAGGAACCATGTTATCTGGGGCCTGTGAGGTTGGGGTGCTGCTCCCACCCCCAGGTCTCCTGCCACTCTGCAGAGGCCTCCTGGGGCCTGGCTGGTTAGGGTTTCCCAGCATCGTGTTGGCGAGAAGGAGGGAGCCAACTGGAAAACGCGATTATTCCGGGGAATTGACTCTGTGACAGCAATGGCACAGAGGCTGGGGGCTGCGTGGAGTGTGGAGGGCCTGCACAGGAGGGGAGGCCTGGGGGACAGAGGCAGGAAGCAGGGAAGGCTTGTGGCTGACCTGTTCCTGGGAACTGTCCCTGCTCCCTGGCCTCCCAGGGGTTCCAGGAACTGGCCCTGGGGGACTCCAGAGAAATGGAGAAGGGGAAGGGAGGGAGAAGGGGAATCTAGTCTTTCGAGATGCCCAGCCAGAGCCTTCAGGAACTAAGCTGCCCCCTGGGCCCAAATGCATGTGGACCCCTGCACTACCCAGCCTATCCCCCAAGAGCAAGCTGGGAAGACCCTAGTGTGGCTTCTTGTGACACCAGCCAAATTTGGGGACATTGCCTCTGCAGAAGGGGTTAAATAAACAAGACAGGCCTTGTATTCTGACAGGGCTGGGCGTGAGCTATCCTGGTCTCTCTGTCCCCTCAGGAGTCCTCTACTTGAAATCACCTGCCACCAGATTTCCTCACCCACACAGGCAACCTGTTCCCACCTGAGCTAATCTGCCTTTAAGAACGGGTTTCCTTCTCTTAAACAAAATCTACCTCTTGGTATCTAATCCAGTACCTCCAGGCCTGTCAGACACCTCTCCTCAGGGAATACACAGACTTCCCACACACCTTCCACCTCTTTTCATTAGACAATGAACAGACTCAATATTCCATATGCACATGGACCATTTCGAGGGACAGTCTGGCCATCACCTCCGATGATACATCTAATAATGCAACCTTAGAGTACTTTGGGCCTTCTCAGTAACCAAAATCCATATGCTGGTAGGCGGAATAGGGACACAGTAAAGTGCAGTGAGTTTGAAATCATCACCCTGGGTTCAAATCCTGACTGCCACTGCCTTATGACATTGCCACATGACCTTGGAAAAGCAGCTTAACTTCATGGGGCCCCTTTTCTTGAGCAGTCATATCTGAGTCTACTGATTCACACAAAGTCTGTTACTCTCATCCCGCCCTTAGAAAGGACGATGTGAAGATGAAATGGAATAAGGTCCTTGGGCACCTAGTAGAAAACCTGGCACGTAAGAGTCATTAGGTCAGTACAAGCCATTGTTACTCTTGTTTACGTGCCAAGTGGTTCAGAAGCCAGTGCACGGGGGGTGTTCCAGGCCTGGGTTTAAATGCCCCATCTAGCACTTGGCTGGTAGCTGGGAGTGAGCAACTTCCCCGCAGCCCCCAGGGCTCACTGGAGAGCAGGAGTGCAGCTGCCTCCCTTGTGACATTTGCAGGATCAGGATCCAGTGGAGCCCCTGACACCCACGAGGTCCCTGACAACTTCAGATATTCCGGTGGGTTTGTTAGCCAAGGTCACAACCACCTGTACTCAGACCATCAACTTTTTGAACCCTAATGTAGGATTTTACATCTATCCTGATGGGCACTGGGAAAATATTCATTTGAATGAAATCACTGACTAAAGGCCCAGAGGAAGCGCACATGTGGAGACCAGAGGGCAAAAAAGAGAAGGAAGGAAGGAAGGAAGGAGAAGCATCAGGGGATAGAGGAGATAGGAAAGTGACCCATCTGGCCTTGCTTGAAATACTGCTGAAGCTGGAAGCCAAGTCCTGGGAGCTGTTGGGAAACTGCTAAACACGACACCAGTCCCCAGGGTCAGTGCCCAGCCAAATATGTCTTCTCCCCTTCCCCTCCACCCCGTGGGCCAGGAGCAGCTGCAGGCAGCCAGCAAACTCCAAAATAACCATCCCACCAGCAGGCCCAGCTGTGTGAGTCCCTGAAATAGATGAAACTTGAGCTGGAAGAGTGCCCTCCTGAAGAGGGACAGCAAAGGTCCAGCTGAATGAGATGACATCGAGATGAGCATCAGGGCCGGGTCTGGCCCCAAGCCCCTAGAAGACCCCCCTGGGCCCGGCCTGACCTCTGGACTGCCCGCTGGGATACAGCTGAGATAAACCAGGGGCAACCTGGAACCGGAAGCAATAGGGTGGCCCTACGTTTACCTTGGCTGTTTGTGATGGAGTCAGGAACAGACAAGGCTATGAGAGAGCTGCTCAGCTGCCCAGCAGCATGTCCCCTCTTCCAGGAAGAAACTCGTCAGCCAGCCACCTGCTCCTGCCTACCTGGTGCCTCGTGAAGCCAGAGCAGAACTAACCAGGCCTGGCCAGGCTGGGGAGGCCAGGGCCAGGCGCCCCACTTGCTGACTTCCTGGGTGCCCAGCCCTGCACAGGGGGCACAGGAGAGGAATAAGCCAGGACCTGGATCCTAGGGGGCTATCAACCAGTGGAGGGTCAAGGCTTTGAGGCATGAAGTTATTTTTAATACAATTCAGTTACTTAGCATCTCCCATTAGAAGGACCTTAGGGGAACTGAGGAGCTAAGGCATTAAGAAATCTGTTTATCCCTGTCAAGTTCTAACTTGACCTTTGCTATGATGCCCCTGGGAACAGGAAGCTCATCACCTCTCAAGGCTCCCTATGCCCTATCTCTGAATGACTGTTAGAAAATCTCTCCTTGTATGGATCCAGGGGTCCTAGTCCACCCATGGGGCTCCCTCTGATCTTCCCCTTCTTGGAATAAATACCCCCTTTGGAATAAAGATCTCCAACTGAGGCCTAAGTCCTTGTCCCCTGTTTCAGAGGAAGTCAGGGAAAGAGTTTGGAAGAAGCAGGATTCGACCTGGGCTGGAGGACAGGGTTTGGATTCATCTAGAATGAGAGACTTGCAGGACGGAAGACTGTTGGCAAATGGAGAACAATCAGAGAGGCCAGGTGAGGAGGGCCTTGGGACCAGCTCTGGCCCAGAGAATCGCCCAGCTCTCTCGCACTGGGCCAGCAGTGCAGGGTAACCAGGGCAGGGCCTTGGCACTGGCACAGGGGCCGCCTTTGAAGAAGGGCCCACCATCAG